CCTGCCCTCCAGAGAGCCCTGCCCCGGGGGAGCCCCCGCCGGGCACTGACCGATGGCCAGGAAGGCATCCCTGACATCTCCCGACATCCGCTTCCTGATGGCGTGCTCCACGTCGTGGTTGGTCATTTTGATGAATTCCTGAAACACTGGGGACAGGGAGAGGAGAGCATCACTGCCAAGCCGTTCCGACCCAGCCCCAGGCACCCAGGAGACTCCTAAACCTTGGAGACTTCTGGACCAGATGGGACCAGAGCAGGCTTTGGTGACCTCAGCCAGCCACCCCAAATGCCATCTCCCACCACTGGGGAGACAGGGCCACCCCAACCTCCTGCTGCCTGGGACACCCATCCATCCCAAATCAAAGCACTTGTGTCATGGCAGCGATGGAGAAACGTGGTCCTACCTCTGCGGAGGTGGGGGTAGCTGCGGGTGCAGAGGATGCTGAGGAAGCGGGTCTCCAGGGAGTCGCTGGATTCGTTGCTGGAGACATCAGCAAGTTTCTGGGAGAGCAATTGAGAGTGAAGAGGGGGATGGGGGACTAGCATAGCAGAGAGGGGCAGAGATGTCAGACAGCTCTTCCTGGGACAGCCAGTCCTGAACACTCTCTTGCAAAGTGGGTGGCCTCTTGTGAGCAGGAAAATAGCTTTTTTTGGGGCCAAAAAAGGCATTTTCTGTGCATGGACGTGAAAGTGAACAGCTGCACACACACACACACAACCTCTGAGCAAAGATGTTTTCCCGTTTTTATGAAAAAAGCTGTGCAATGCTTGTTATTGAGACTTTCCTTTGTCTCTTGAGGAGGGTGTTTGGGGGCGACCAATATAGAACAGGGAATTCAGAGCTGCCAGATGTAGGAGCCACTCTCCACCCTGGCCTGCAGCAGTGCTGCCCAGGGGTGAAACACCTGCCCCCCTGCTGCAGGGCTCAGCACGGAGGCTGTATTCATCATGCCCATTAGGCTACTGCAGTAGAAGTCACCCCTTCCTCAATTCACACTTTTGGCGAGCCAGGGAAGCCAGCCCTGAGCCCCATCCTGCCAGGAACACAGGTCCTGCATGCAGGCAGTGGGCAGGATTGGTCCCCAGCCCTCCCCAGGGCAGGAAGGTGGCTTTCTCTCCTGCCCAGTGCTGCAGGGAAGTGCCCTCATGCAGGGCATCTGTCCCCTTGCCACCCCATCCCCATGCAAGGACCTGGCTGCTCCTCCCAGCCCATCGCCCGAGGACCCCAGCATCCCCTCAAACATGCAGAAGGCTGTAGGAGCGAAAGGGCAGGCACTCACCAGGGTCTCAGCAACAACCTGGTGGAGAGAAAGAGAGAGACAGGAAGACAACAGGGTCAGAAGGTGCTGCTCAGCCTTTATCCTTCCCTGACCAAGAGAGGGAAATCTAGCAAAATCCCCCCAAATGACCTGTCTCCAGCTTCCCTGCAGGTGGGCCTGAGCTTAGGACCCGTGACTTCCTCCAGTTTGGCCTCTACACCACTAGCTGGGACAGAGGGTTGGGTTTAGGCCAAGCAAAATGATCCCCCCACCCCTGGGGCTTGGGTACCAGCTCCTTGGTGAGCATCCTTGCCCAGCCCCAGGCTGGCAAAAAAACCGCCTGCCCGCCCCTGCCCAGCGCAGGCAGTGGCCAGAGGGGAAGGACGAGCTTTGCTGACAAAATACAAGAGTGACACCAGGCCAGCTGCCACACGGCTTGGCTAGTCCCTGTGTTTGTCACCCCTGGCTCTCTCTTTCTCTGCAGCAGGTCGAGGCGAGCAGCAGTGCATGTGGCAGGGTGCAGGCAGCGCGTGTGGCGGGGTGCAGGCAGGGTGCAGGCAGGGTGCGGAGGCAGCGCAGCATCTGCTCCCTCTGCCGGTAGCAGCCCCAAGTTTCCCAGCCCCTTTCGGAGAAGGTTTGGCCTGAAGGAGCAGGAGGCCAAGGTGCACAGCCGAGGGTCACGGGTCTCCTGGGACCGGGAGGTGAGCCAGGCAATGGGGCCCAGCACTCCCCTCCCCACACCGATTCTGTCTGCTCAGCCTTCCCTCTCCATTCCTGGCTCATCACAGCCCAGTAAAGCTGAGGCAATGGTTTAAAGGCTGGGGCTGACATCCTGGCATGCTAGCTGGGTGAAAAGCTGCTTATGCTTTAGGGCTGCCCCATGCACCACGCAAAGAGGTGGGTGGCTCCTGCAGACCAGCCCAAAGCTGCCTTCGAAGCTTAAATGCCAAATTTCAGCATTGCTGTGTGTTCCCAGATCCCAGAGTGGCAGCTCTGCCTAAGCAATGGTGCAGCCCATGGCTGAGAGCTTGCAGGGACAGCCCCTGGGGCTGCTCCTGTGGTTTGCAGCCTCCTGGTGCGTGGAGCAGCTTCTGCCGGCACCAGCCAAGCCCAGGGCTGCAGAAACCAGGCTTGGGAGCTGTACCTCCAAGGGTGTCACTTCAGCTGGCATCTCCCCCAGCAGCCTGCAGAGCCCCTGCCCCAGCGGTGTGTGCTTCCCTGAGGATGCCATTTCCAGCCCAGGCGATGTGACATCCTCGGTTTTGTTACACACAGCCTGTGACAGCACTGCCAGTGTGGTTCTTACCTTGGCATCTTCATGTGCTTGCGTGAGGTTCTCTGGTCCTTCGTCACGGTTGCCCTGTGGTTCAACACAAAAATCGTGGAGGTGGGGAGAGGACATCTCCCGAGAGAGCCCCACGTGACAGGGTGGCAGCCAGGGTCCAGCAGCTCTGTCTTCTCCATCGCCACGTCCTCACAGACCCCCACCGCTGGACAATCCCCACCAAGAGACCTGCCCTTACCAGAGCCAGGGAGACGAGAATCCTCTTGAAATGTCCTGATGTGTCAGAGCTCAAGTCGTCTTCCAGGCTCTTGTGGTAGGCTGCGGAGAAGGGGGACGGCTGAGCCCTGCACCCTGCTGGCAGCTCTGCTTCCCACCCACCAGCACCTGGGGTGCCCACAAGCAGTGGTGGCCGTCCTCCAGCCTTTCCATGGCCACAGCAGATGCCTCCATCTGCTATTTTCAAGCCCCAGGATCAGCCCAGCATCTCTTAATGTCCCAGGCATGAGCACAGCCTCTTGCTCCAGGTGCTCCCCAGGGAAAG